AAATTAATAATGATAGTTTAAAAAGAATATAATTAATATTCTTTTTGGTAACTTATAATCAAGGACCAATTTTTTGCCAATTGGGAGACGGGGACCACTTATTTGCATTTCTAACAAGGACTTACTTATTTCTCACAACATACAACTCATCCTTAATATAAAACCTAATTGTTGAGTTAATCTCAGTTTTATATATTTTTAGATTTATTAATTTTTTTAAATTACCTTTATTGATACTCATTTAACTATAATCAAGTAAGAAAAGAAGAAAAATATTGAAAAAAATAATTATATTGTTTTAGAAAAAATATGACATATTTTTTTATAACTAACTATTATTTATTTTTGTTTTTTAATTTAATCAAATTAGTTAAATATGTCTTACACTGAACATAGGAGAAATCGTATAAGAGGCACCACAATGTGATATGAGAAGTCTTAAAGATTGATGCTGATATTAATATGCATATTTCCTTTATCTATATTATAAAATTTTTAGTCTATTTTATACCACTTTTTGATAGTTTTAATGAGAGTAATTAAATATTTTTTCATATAGATGTCTATATTTAATAAGGATAGTGAAAGAAAGTAAAAATTAATATAATGTGAAATTTAATGGGACTAATAGGGACAATAAAAAAATCACTCAAATTTTATGATAAATTAATTTAATACTTTTAATCCTTTTGTATTGACACTGTAAGTTAGAAAAGTGAAGGGGGAGAGAGTTTTTTTTTTTCCGTAGGTACTGGAGACAATTTTATTCAAAGCACTATCAGATACTTCTTTTAATGAGGGTTTGAATCTTAGTTCACCACGATGTAAGAGACTAGCCTTTTTATTAGATTAAATCCCTGTTGGAAGGGAAAGAGTATTAATTACTAGTACTAATTTTTTCCTATTTATAACTCATTTGTAGGGAAAATGTATTCCTAAATAGATGAAGTCACTTGTAGCATATTTAATAAGTCTTTTCCAATTTAATTCCTGTTAACAATAGGTGGGGGAAAATAAATATGAAGTTTTTTTTTTTGCTATTATTCCTTTAATAAGGACAAGAAATGAAAAAAATTATCAGTCTAATGTATCTTTTGTTTTTGTTTTGGGGGGGGGGGCTAGAGATAAGTAACTTGTAAATAATAGGAAGTTGAAAAAATGTACTAGTACTAAATAAAAAGCATTAAATTACCGAATTAGCTCTCAGCTCAGCTTATGTTTTTTCCCGCCATTACGGGGTTTCATGCTCGGACACCGCGAGGGTTAAATGTCTTTATGCCCTTTTCTCCGGGAAAATCAGTATCGCTCTTTTTACTCCCCGCGCCCATAAATGGTCCCATTCCCATATCCTAATTTCCCCCCTTCTTTTCAGGAAGAAGCCCTCTTTCTGTGCTTCATGGCTCATGCTTTTCGTTCGATGGCTTTCGTTTCAAAGCTATTCGATTCCCGAATTTTGACAGTCTTCATTTCTGGGAGATAAGAGGCAAACCAACAGGTAAATGTGAAATTTCCTTTCCTTCTCTTTCTATTTTTCAATCAGAAGTTTCATTATTCAGGACCGAAGGTTAATTAGTTCATCGTTGTTAGTCCAAGTCTCAGATATTCCAATCGGAATAAATCGTTGCCAGTTCTATCTGTTTGGTGGTTGGTTCTGCATTTAGGTTTTCCATAGAGTTACTTAATTTAATAATTTAACAATTTAATAATAGCTCTCGCAATGATCACAGCGCAGTCGGATGAAATGACGAATTTGCCCTCATCCTCGGGACGACTATCGCTTTCTATTTTCTACCAATATTTGACTGATTAATGAGCATCCTGCCAATATTTTAGGTGCTCGCGGTGAACTCGTTTGTGTCCAGAATTGACGGCTGCAGAACGCGTCAAAGGACTCCGGTCATATATCCTTTGATCTTATGTAGTTCTTCAACTTATAAGCCTTTTTTTTGGTAATATGATATTTTCTTATGTTTTTATTTTGTGTCCTTTTCCATCTCAAATTTTGCTTGGACCTTCTTTGTTTAATCAATCATTCCTTTCTCTTTTTTTGGTGAACGATTATTAATTATTCCTTTTAATTTTGGATGTTTTGAACTTCTAATTGACGCAGACTCTTTTCAGTCAGTCTTATATCATTTGAATTCTAATTAGTCGACCTATTCCACTTTAATTTTATGTCGTCGTCAGCTTTCGTTTTTCTTTAAAATTTTGTAGACCAGACACGCCTTTGTGTTTATTTCCACTAGTGTCAGCCTGATGAAACTACTAATTGATGAAATTTTTTAATATTACTGTTTGGACTTTAGATGCCGAAAACATTGTATCGTTTTGGATGCACGAGTTATCTCTGTTGTCATTTGGTATGCATGTTTTAGAATTTTATAACTGTCACATCAGACCAATATGCGATGGATTTCCGCCAATTTCATAGAAACTAATCTTTCTTCTTATTGTTTTTTTTTTTGCCAGAAATAAAACTATCTCTTCGCCCTTTTTCTTTGTTTTAATGGCCTAGATAATTCGTCACTTCCATCTTTTTTCTAGGTGGTCTATAGTAAAAAAAAGCACATGATCAATACGAATTTGAAAGAATGAATATAGCTGAGCATTAATATATGACTAAAGAAAATCCGCTGTTAAACATATCCACTAAGAACTTCCTTATCCTTCATATGTGTTTAGCAAAAAGACGTGGTTGCTACAAAATTCGTAATCACTCTGATTGATCGTCAATGGGAAGAAGTGAGCTATAACTAAATGAGGTATGACATTGTTGGTAAATTGTATAGTATAGATCTGATTCTTCTTTTTTTCACGAAAAAATTGTGCGTGAGATATATGAAGATCTGATTGTTATGTTGAATACGATTTGTTGGATCTTGGAAACATAGTTGGAGAGATATTTTGTCATGCTAGAATCAATTGTCCGCTCCTTTGATTAATGTTAGCTTGTGTGAGAATAGTAGAATGCATGTAGGAGATGCTGCAAAAGGAAGCACTCCTGCTCTTGTGGCCTGTAATGTTGACACTTGGTATTGGAATAAACCATAGGTTATAAAACCATAGGTTATAAAACCATAGGTTATTTTCTTGGATGAGATTAAAACACAAAGTTTAGTTTATACAATACCATTTTTATCGATCTCCAGCAACAACAATAACAAAACTTTATCTCACTAGGTGAGGTTGGCTGCATGAATCACACTATGTCATTGTGCTCTATCAACAACCCAATCTTTAGATATGTTGTTGACCAGGAGATCTCGTTTAATGAACTCATTAAGTGTTCTTCTCAGCCTTGCTTTGCCCCTTTTTATGGGAATCTATACTGTTTGATCTACCCTCCTTATGGGGGCTTCTAGTGGCATTTTCTGCACATATCCAAATCACTTTAAACGATGTTCAACCTTTTTTTTTTTTTTATAGGCGCCACACAGACTCTTACTCTAATATTTTCATTTTGAATCTTATCTTTTTTTGTATGACCACACATCCATCTCAACATCCTCATTTCCGCTACACTGATTTTGTGCTCTTGTTTTCCTTTTATTGTCCAACATTCACTACCGTACAACATACCTAATCTTATAGTAGTCTGATAAAAATTTTTCTTAAGCTTCTCAGATACCTTCTTATCATAAATAACTCCGATAGCCTTCCTCAACTTTAACCAGCTAGCTTGTATTCTATGAGAAATGTCTCCATCAACTTCACCATCCTCATGTATAATAAATCCTAAGTATTTAAACTTTGATACTTTAAACCTTGATACTTGAGGGATGATTTGATCCCCATCTTCACCTCCAAATTTATCTCCATGTTTGAAAATTTTACGATTTCAGCTATTCTGGTGAAGTATTATTCTTTTTCCAGTGGTATCGAATGATGTGTAAAGGCTTTTCTACCATTAGACTATAAACAGGAATTAAAAAAACTAAAATGCTATATGGCGGGAAGTATTTCGTTCTTGTTGAGAACGATTTTAACTTTTCTGCCATTCCGATAATGAAGATTTTGTAGAGTTCGGATGCAGTGACATATATATAATGAAAATAAATAAAGGCTTCTGTTTTTCTCTTCTCTGTGCTCTTTGGAACTCTACAAGGCCGTCAGCCCCTCATAATTGAAAACTCTAGACAATCCAAATTTATCAAGTAACACTATTGCATTTAGATTGACTGTATCTGAAGTCATGAGTAAAATGGAGAATGAAATCATTTCTGGTTTTATGTTGCCATATATGGAAAGATTTCAATAGTGAATTCCAAGTTAATTATGCTCTATTAGTTCATATATTTCTTTCGCCAGGTTGTGTTGATCAATTGGTCAATTTTTTAGCCATATCTTGTGATGATTTCCGTGTTGGGTAAAATCAAAGTAGCGAAGAATTTGAAGCTATTTCGAAAATAGGTGTCCGCAACATGAAGGTCACATTTTGGTTGAGGAAAAGATATGGAAGAGTTCACAGGGCTTGGAAAGGGAAGACGCCGGGGTGGTCTTAGGTGGGAAAAAATAAGCTAACTGAGGAGGATGTAATTGATGCACTGTGATAGGGGCAGCTAGCTTTAGCTGAAGGTATAATAATCATTCTAATTAATTTCTAGGAAAAATCAGTGAAAGGTCCCTTGTTTGAAAACTTTATCAGCCGGAAGGATTTGATATTGATGCTTTGCATGATTTCACACACGGAAAGCATCGGTAATTGAATTCAAGTCCTTGCTAAAATAAATCTCAAAGAGGGACTTTTCACTGATTTTCCCTAATTTCTGCTTCGTCCCTGGCGTATCAGATGATATCAAATTTCTTAATGGACACCAACAAATAGAATGGGATGGGCTGGGGAGGGGGCTTATAATTAGCAAGAGAAAATAACAGCAAAATAAAAGGACGAGGGACGAAAATAAGATAAATGGTGCCTCCACAAATGGACAAATAAATAGAAATGATAGTGCTTAACACTGTTGTGAGACTGCAGGTTTGATTACTGGAATTGTATATATCTAGCTTGTAGTTTGATCAGATATACTGAGAAGTTGCTCCAGATACTCTACACCCAAGTCCTCCAGCACCACCACCTCTGATTGCTGTTTGGCTTTGTCTTTCTTTGCCCTTGACGAGAGTTTTCTTTGGATGTAGTGCCTCTCTTTGAGGGCCAAAGCAGGCGAACACCCTTTGGGACAGCCATACTTGATGTGTTGCAGAGACTCCTTCACCTTTTCCACAGGAAAATTAAGAACGGCGTTGTGGCCTCTCATGGTGAATGCAGCTTGGTCATAAGCTAGAGCAGCCTCCTCCGCAGTCTCGAACGTTCCCAGCCAAACTCTGGTCCCATTCCTGGTCGTGTCTCTGATCTCTGCTGCAAATTTCCCCCAAGGTCTCTTCCTCACCCCTATGTATACTTTTTCCTGCACGGTACTCTCGGCTTCTATGGCTTCACAACTCACCGGTGCTTGATTTGCCTCCTTCTCAATCATATCGAAGCAGAGATAATCTTGGAAAGGGTCTTCGTGAAATTGGTCGCTTGATGAAGAAGAGGCCGGGAAAGGATCAGATGTCTCCGGCCGAAACTCCCAATCTGGGCATGGCTGCAGATTTGACGGCCAATTCATCCTGGGTAGGGTTGCTGTCTGGAAAAGGCATGACTTTCATCCTATTATTGCAGTTATTTATATAGGCTAGATCCATGGTGATTATATATTAAATCAGCGCCCACCGCAGTTTTTTAATTATAACTATCATAATATTAATGCTGGTCAAAAAATAATTATAACTATCATAAGACTATTATTGCTTAACTTGAAATTCAACTTAATCTCTTGGGGTTCACTATGATTTGTTCAGACAACATTTGATTCGGCTGATATTCTCAGTGCCTGACATTTTAATAATGAATAGAAGAGTTGTTGCTTAGTATTGTATTTTTGTTTTTGTCGCCATTTTAGTTGTGAAGTTTAATTCGATTTCATTCGATTTATATGAAACTACGTTATATACAAGCCTTAAATTTGCTGATTATACAACGCATAGGGTTTATATTAAATCACTTTGTACTCTGTTGATTTTTCATTGTGCTAATGATTTTTTTTTTTTGGCTATATTCATGCACACAGAGCAGTAGTACTTTTTTCATTCTATTTATAAGATACTTATTAAAAGAATAATTTCGTGATCTTTCTGAAGCGTCATACTGATTATTCATTATGATTTTTTATTTTCATCATCATTCAATATTAATATAAAAAGTATGAAACTTTATTATTTCATGATAAAGTTGATAGATTTTAAGATTTTTTTTTGGAAGGTTTGGAAATGACATGTGAATATAATAGACCGAATGAAACATATGGCATGCATGGGCGTCACTGAATAATTACTGAGATAGTAAAAACTATCTGGATCTATTCACCAAAAAAGAAAAAAAACTGAAACGAGCTAGATCTTGACCTTTTATTGGTCAAACTAGCCAGATCCTTAGACCGCTTCTCGTAATTTCTATATCTGGTCTTCTTATACATCAGGTGTTACCGATGGTGCATCAGTTACCTTTTAACTGGACACGTGTGGTCATTACCAAGCATCAACGTGTATTTATTTTTTTTCAGTTTCACTCAATGTGCGTTCATTGAACACACATAAAAATTATAATTAAAAGAGATAACATATAATAAGGAAATTTTGGTAAAATTAAATTATTCATTACCTTTTAAAGAAATACGTAAAAAAATAGTACAATGATGATTAAATAAAGCGGCATCTATACACAACTCGTCATCTCTCATCACTGCACACCCACCCCCCAATTTTAAATGGAACTTTTTGTCTCTGTTTTTGTCTCGTTGTATGAACAGCACGGGCAGCCCGGAATCTATGGTTGATAAATTATCCTCTTTTAATCCCAACTTGGTCGCTATTTTTTCGAAAAAGAAATGAAAAGTCATATGTTTGTATATGTATTATAACTATTATGAGGTTTAGTACAGAAGACAGGCACATTTGGCCAAGAGTAATATGCGTAACCCAGGTTGGTTGTTTAATAATTGGGTCTTTCCTCATTTGGCGCTTCCTCCATGCTCATGTCTATTGTAAGTTGTTAGTCCTATTTAATTTCCTGATTACACTCCTCACATGCTTTAATTTCTTTTTCCAAGCGCTACTTTTAAAATGACCATAACGTTAGAATGCATTAATTCAAATGGATGAATACTATGTTATAATTTACTCTTGCTTTTTACCAACATGGTTTATCAGTATTTTTATTTAAATTTATTAAGTTATTTATTATTCTAAAATATTTGTAAAGAAAGAAAGCGCGTATTATAAACGTGAGGGGGAGAAAAATACGTAACGCCTAAAATTTTGATGAATTTAACTTGTATTATTATGATAGAAAAGATTTACCATGATATAAAAAAAGAAGCCCGTTAAACTTATAAAAGAATATTTCACACCCAACTATGGTAAAAAAATAAAAAACAAAGAAAGAAAAGACAGTAACAAACCATAGTCAACAAGAAATTATCTATTAAAAGATGTTTTTACATGGCAACTGTATATATCACCTGTTTAGGAAAACCAAACCTGGTATATATCGCCTAACCAAAAGTGGGTTGGGTTAGGCTAAAAGTTTGAGGTCCCAAACGTAGGTTTATCCATTAACAGCGCGACTACCACAAACTCAACATCCTTTTTCATAATTTCATCTTTGATTCATATCTAATTTACAATTATACTTCAAAAACAGATAACAAAGTTGTCACTACAGCCCCAGTGCACTTGGCTTCTCACAATTACCACATTCACAAGTTTTTTTTTTTTGGTCAAGTACTACGTACGTTCACGAGTTTAAACGTGCATAAGTACCTCAACATCTATGATCGACTAACTAATCTTCAAAACTCTAATACCCACAAGTATGACTCAAAAGGCCCTATAATAGCAATATAGGTCATTAAATCAAACACGTGAAAGTAAAACTGAAACCATATAAAGGTAACCATAGCCTCAAGCTTTGGATCCCTCCCCTTGAAAACACTGTTAGAATCCTCACAAGTAAAATACTGAAAGAAATTTTCGGGCCCACGAGTTATTATTTCAATTCACAGTTATGCCAAAAGCTCATTTTCAGAGCAAGTTTTGAGTATGATATAATACCTTGAATCAAGTTCAATTATCATAAAAGTTTTAATATGATATTCTCATTACCTAAAGTTTTCAATTGAAATAATTTCTTTGTCAAATCAATGTCCAGATTGCTATATAAAAGATACTCCAAAGTTCCCAATAATTCATCCATAAATTACCAAAAAAAAAAAACCAAACTTAAGCTTCTACCATAAGATCAAATTTCAACAGGCATTATAAAGACCCCAAAACAAACAAGTGAAGTTTTAAACCAAGATTTACATTCAAAAACGAAATTTCCTTTTGTATTGTCTAGGGTTACACGACTGCAATTTCCACCGACAAAGATCTTCCTTGAACCGTAAAAAAAAAAAAAAAATCAAGTCACCTCATTAACCTCAGCCAAATGCCTAACAACCATAAGAAATTCGGACTTGTTGCTGTCACGAAGAATCAAATCCTCCATTAGCATCGTAACTCAAAAATAAGCTTGGGAAGATGAGGGAGAGGGATTACCTCCCAAGTTTTTAAAGCCCAAAGGAATCGTACTAACACACAAAAAAACCCCTCTATTTCTTTTTTTTCCTAAGCATATGTATCCTCATATTAAAAACTATTATGTTTGAGGCACTATCAAATACTAAATACGAGCATACACCTCTCCTAGCATAAATGTAAAATTTGGTTCATCACATTTTAAAGAGTTTAGCCCTTTCACTAAACTAAATCCCTATTGGTAAAACCCTTCATATCTTTGTGGGTAGACCCTTAGGCTAGGTTTGCCCACACACATAATCCGCACATTTATGTTTGCTGTGAATGTGAATGTGAAAAGTGCGTTTATTTTACTGACTTTCAAAAATTACAAATAATCTCATTCCAAGATAATTCATCCAGTCCTTCAATTAATCATTAATTAACTTAATTATGTTACTAAGACAATTTAATTAAATGTGTGTTGTTATACTTTTGTTTTTCCAAATCCTTAAAACTTTTACCTCAAGAGAGCTTTCTTGATTAATCCTCCATCATCAACTTCAAATAACTTAATTAAGAATTTTAGGGTTGGCAAAAAAATTTTTAAATTTTAGGGATGTTATAAAAAAAATATAAATTAACTGAAGTAATAAAAAATTGAGATATTATATTTAGGATCAATATAAATTCTTAAATTAAATCTTATACATAGAAAGGAGGGGTATATTATATCACTTTATTTTTTGAAAGTGGCGGTTATGTTTTTTTTAAAAGCCAAAGTGGCAGTTATATTTAAAACCCAAGTTGACGCTGATGCTTCTTTTTATTAAAGAGTATTTGAGGGGAAATCAAATCCTTGTTAAATTAAAAGTAATTTTACTGTAATTAGGGAGTTTTTGAGTAGAAACAAAACCATGATTTTAAAGATACTTTTATGGCATATGAAGTAAATATATGAAAGAATTTGCCTCGATTTGTGAAAAATTATTTTTGTGGTATATGAATGTGTAGAAAGCACTTTTGGCAATAGCCGAACACTCATTTTTTTCATTAATCCAAATACCCCCTAAATATATAAGAGGAGTTTTGTCTTGACTTACATAAAAATAATTTTTTAAAGTGTTTTTTAGATAAACCAATCGTCTATCTTGGTCTTCTAATTTAGACGTATCGTGTGTGAATGTATCCACCATTGGTATATTTAACATTGTGATCCTTTATATCTCCAGTGAATAAATGAAAGATTTATAATAAATAAATTAAAATTTAACTTACCATATATTATTTCATTTTTAAAATTTCAGGGAGGATTTTTTTTTGGATCCGGGAGGATGGGCAGGAAACCAAAATACCAAACAAACGTAAAACACTAAACTAGAAATTCGTTTGTTAAGATTCATAAGTACACGAATTTTATCATTTTATCTATCAATCTTCGTGTCCCTCTAACACAAAATTTTAAAATATTCTACTCGCCTTGTCTCTCACACCCATCAAATCCTTGGACAATATTATTTTTTTTTTTTATAGAAAAACTGAATAATGCTTTTAATGTAATGAGGTATTCTTATCACAGTAGTGAAATCTCGGTCTGGATGAAGCAGCCATATGATATGACATAGCGACCAATTGTTGGTTAATTAATTATGTTGGTGAGTGAAATTAACAGAGGCTTAAAATAATGCACAACAATGAACATGTGTTAAAAATCTTAAGTTAAATATTCTGATGGAGAAAGGGTGAAGAATCATGATCGTGATTAGCTAAGCATAGCGACCAATTGTTGGTTAATTAATTATGTTGGTGAGTGAAATTAACAGAGGCTTAGAATAATGCACAATAATGAACACGTGTTCAAAATGTTAAAGTAAATATTATGATGGAGACGGGGTGAAGAATTGGG